GCTGCTCACCGCGCTGAGGCGGATCCCGCTGGGTGGCTGCGCCGCCATCTTGAGCGAGCTACAAAGCCAGGACCGGCCTCAGCCGCAATCAGACTGGGAGGTGTCGGGAAAACTGTAGGGGTCCGCTTTGCTCCGCCCATTTCCGGGGCGGGACCCCCACGTGGCCACGCCCGTGCACTTCCGCCTCCAGGCAAAGCTAATTGGGACTGTGAGAAAGTCAATTTCTGGGCTGGTGGAAGACTGTTGAGCTGTGAGCTAAGCTTGGAGCAAGACAACCCGGAGTTTGAATCCTGGCGCCATATGCTGTGTAGCCTAGATGGTGAACATGAGGCACTTGACCTGGGGAGATGTGCGTTTCAGTAAAAATAATCCCTACCCAGCAGTGTCAAGGTGGGATTTGAAACCTTACTGACAAAGGGAAAACAGAAACTAGTTAGTACTGTTTTGATTTGCCCTTGTCGTCAAGAATAACTGACTCTTCAAAATAATCAATGTGATGTAATTCTAAACAGGAATTTGAGTAACCAGACCTGGAGAAAGACAAACATAGCATCCGGCGTGAATTTAAGCCACCGGGTCTGGGACTCAGACCCAGAACCGGGTCTGGGACGCGAACTGTAGTTAACTGCATGGGAGTCCAGCGATGTAGCCATTTCACCATCTGCTGGCCCGGCGTATACCTGTGGGTTTACAAAGTTTGGTGGTTGGAAAGGAAGGTCTTTGTCTTGGGAAGAAATCAGCAAAAGAATGTCTGTGATTTACTTTCATGGAGATAGAAAGGCTTACTGTATCGGGAACTGGATGTAGAAAGAGGCCTGTTATCAATGGGCCAGAATGGTTTGTCAATGTTTGTAGGTGGGACTTGCTCCACGCCCTTTGGAAAGAATTTTGGAATAGGAAAAAGCAGTCAGACTTTTTTCCTCACCCTGAAAGTGATCAGCCTTCATCCTGATAAGGAATTTTTATCCTGTACATGCACCTGGATGCCACATAGCCCATTGGGGTTTAATCCCACATCCTGCAATTTGCCTGTGTGTGTGTGTGTGTGTGTGTGTGTGTGTGTGTATCCGCCTGCCCAAAATCCCAAAAGGAGAAACGGAAAAGGGATTGTGGTGTGACCATTACCCATGGGGGGGGGTGCTTTCTCACTGTTCCCTCTTATCTCTCTGGGCATGCACCCTCTAGAAAACTAAAAAGAAAAAAGGGGAAAAAAGGGAATAGAGGTTTCTGAAAACATTTATTGCGATTTTATGATTGTAAAAGTAATGTTTTTTTGTAAAAATTTAAATAGTACAGAAATATTAAACATAAAATTTACCTCCATGTCCTTCACCAGAATAAATAATTTGGTGTATATTACTCCAGACTTACTACATACTAAATATTGTTTATATTTTGGGACTCTACTTTTCATACTCTTTTGCAATTACACTTTATCTTTTTCTTTAAAAAAAAATTGGAGCCAGCAGCTGACGTGCCACATAGCCCACTGGGGTTCAGTCCCATACTCTGCAATTTGCCAGTGTGTATATGTGTGTGCACACGCGTGCACGTGAACTCCCACATGGTCGACCACGGTTTGAGTCTTGGACCTGGCAGCTTGCATTTTCTCTCTCTCTTTCACTCTCCCTCTCTGGTCATATTATAAAATAAATAAATAAATAAAGTTAAATAAAATAATTCTTTTAAAAATTATTTATTGCGGGAACCAGCAGTTGGCCTAATGGCTATGTCGCTGGACTCCCACGTAGTCAACTGCGGTTCGCGTCCCGGACTCGGTGGCTTAAAACTCACGCCGGGCGCGTGTGCGTGAGTGCCCAAGATCCCGAGAGGAGAATGGAGGAGAAGAGATTGCGGTGTGGCCATCCCCCCTGGGGGGTGATTTCTCGCTGTCTCTCTGTCTCTCTCTGTCTGGCGAGCTCACGCGCCCTATAGCGGAAACCTCTCAAAAAAAAAAATTATTTATTGGGGCCACAGGTAGTGAGGCTGCTGGACTCTCATATGGGTCACCATGGTTCGAGTCCCAGATCTGATAGCTTGCTTTCTCACTTCCCTTCTCTTTGTCTCTCTCTCTGGTCAAATTCAAAAATATAAAGAAATAAAATAAAATAATGATAATGAATACAAATTTTAAAATTCTTTTAAAAGTTATTTATTTAATTTTATTATTATTTTAATTTGACCAGAAAGAGTGAGAAGGAAATTGAAAAAGCACGCCACCAGGCCCAAGACTTGAACCACAGTCTAGCACTTTAACCACCACACCACCTGCCAGTCCCTACAATTTATCTTACATATTTTAGTTTGAGGCTTTGAAATGCCCAACATTTTAAAGTTAATCAGTGAAGAATGAGGAAACATAAACAAAAACACCCCTATCACCTTTGCCACTGACCAACTCAAGAAACTACAGTTAAAACCAGGTATATTTCACACACATCAGACTGGGAGAACGTTACCGTTGCTACTAGTGGGTAAATGGCATAATGTCAATCGCCTAAGTTGGAGTGCTACTTAATACCAGTTGTAATGCTCTCCAGCACGTAATTTCTTAGTTTTCCTTCAGCTTTAAGACTGTGCTGTTCTAGGGCCATCACGTGGCATGGAGGTTAAGGTGGCTGGATCCCACACTGCCAGTGGCAATTCAAGTCCTAGACCCAGCAGCTTGAAAAACACATGTACTTGTGTACATGATCAAAATCCCAAGAGGAGAATGGAGAAGGGAATGTGATGTGGTCAACCCCCTGATGAGTGATTTCTCTCTCTCCTCTTCCCCTCTCTCTCTCTCTCTCTCTCAAGTACACACGCCCTATAGCAAACTTAAAAAAAGAAAAGAAAAAATTATACTGTTCTGTGTCAGCCTCTTTTACCAACTGTTTATACAGAACCTACTGTCCCGCAAGGACAGAGCTAAGGTTACAGTGAAGAACAAAAGAGAGAGTTTCAGCTACCCCTTGCTATGGTGGGTAAAGGCAGTACATAGGAGCCAGATCCCACATGGCCAGCTGAGGTTTGAATCCTGACCCCTGCAGCACAGTATCCTGACGGGGTGGAGAAGTGGAGGACATAGGGTTGCAGTGTAACCACACCCTATTAGAAGAGTACTTCCTCTCTCATTCTCTCTCTCTGGCAAGTGTACGCACTCTGTGGCAATAAAAATAGTTTCTGCTCTCACAGAACATGTCAAGACTGTGTTAAAAAAACAGCTTTGGGGGCCAGAAATGGGGCCAGATTGCGTGGTGGTTAAGGGCACTGGACTCCTACATGGCTGACCATGGTTCAAGTCTCATTCCTGGCAGCTTACTTTCTCACTTTTCCTCTCTCTCTCTGTCCCTCACTGGTCAAAGTTAAATAAATAAATAAATAAATAAAGTTAAATAAAATAATTCTTAAAACAAAAAAAACAGGTTTGGGCCTGTTAGCTGTGCAGTCAATTTAGTGAGTCTTGCAGCACTTTGTAAGACACAATAGAATTTTAAATTTATGGTATAGAGCAGGGTCTCCCTGGTTTTAAATCTTCTCTTCTTATTTGCTATGTGATATTCAGTAAGTTATTTTACTTCTCCATGTCTCCGTGCCCTCACCTGTAAAATGAGGGTAATAGCAGTACTTTCCTCATAGAGTTACAAGGATTAAATGACTCAAGATTAGTAAAAGTGCACTGAACAGTGTCTGGTGCACAGCAAGGGCTATATAAATGTTAAGTAAGTAAAATACAGAGAAAGAGTTATGCTGTTTCACATGTATATTGACATATGAAAGGACTTGAAAAAGTTCATGGAAAATAGAATTAATATATAAGTTTATTTTGGTGCAAAAAGTTTTGAAAATTATGCACACTTTTTCCCATAATACGCATCTTCAATGAACTTTTTGAAGACCCCTCAGATGTATGTACCAGGTACTGGAGGGTGATATAAAGTGTCTTATGATTATTTGTTAAAGGGTACATGTACTCACTGAGGAGAGACAGAGAGAGAGAGAGTAAGATATCATCCCTCGAGGGGGATGGCCAGAACACAATCGCTTCTCCTTTTTCCTCTCAGGATTTTGGACCCAGACACGTCCCTGGCAGTTTACAAGTCACTGGTCTAGGACTTGAACTGTGCAGGTGGCCATGTGGGATCCACCTACCTTAACCACCATGCCGCTGGCTAGTCCTAAAGTATCTTTTTATGAATTATGGTCAAAAAGTCAGAAGGAGACAATGAAAAGATAAATTACAAATTTGAGGGTCTCATTTAGAGCAGGTAAAAGGGGAAGGCCTATCTAAGGAGATGACATTTTTTTGGAGGTTTTTTTGCTATAGGGCTTGTGCATTCACCAGAAAGACAGAGAGAAACAGAAAGCAAAAAATCACCCCTGAGAGGGGATAGCAACTCTGCAATCCCTTCTCCTCCATTCTCCTCTCGGGATCTTGTGCATGCACACACACCCAGCATGAGTTTTAAGCCTCTGGGTCCGGGACTAGAACCACAGTCAGCTACATGGGAGTCCAGCGACATAGCCAATACGTCAACTGCTGGTCTCACTAAGGAGATACATTTTAAACGAGGATAGAGATAAATTTCTGAAGAACTTGGGGGAAACCATTCCAGGGATGCTGCAATTTGAGAAACAAACACTGCCAAGGCCTAGAGGTTTGGAAAGGACTACTCACATGTGAGGAACTGAAACAGGATGAGTGTGATTACAGCCTCACAGTGGAGACAGTGGAGTAGGATGATGATGACTTGATGAAATAACCTGTTGTGCAATAGAGTACATCTTCAGATTTTCCTAAGGTTAACAGATGCTGGAAAGATGGTGTGGAGGCGAAGTTTCCTAAATATAATACTGCCACATACATTCTTCCACTAAAAACAGTGAGGACTTGGGACCAGCAGATGGCATGGTGGTTAAGACAACTGGACTACTACATGGCCTACAGCAGTTTGAGTCCTGGACCCAGCAGCTTGAAAATCACACTGGGTGTGTGTGCATCCATGCCCAATATTCCAGGAGGAGAATGGAGGAGAAGGGATCACAGAGTGGCCATTCCTCTTGGGGGGTGATTTCTCACTTTCCCTCTTACTGTCTCTGTTTCCAGTGAATGCACATGCTCTATGGCAAAAACCTTAAC